AGCGCAGCAGAATTCAGAATTTATTTATTACACACCATAGAAGGAACAGCAACATTCCATTGACCATTTCAGTGTTTTTATTAAGTCAAAAGCTGCAGGTTTCCAGCCTCAGCCAAAATTAAATATGTAATTGATCTGTAACTGCAACCTTAAGAGACAAATCAAGAAAATAAATTACTGCCTTAACAGTCCTACATTTTGACTATCAGCACTGAGTTGTGCTCAAGTACAAAGGAACTTTTTAAAGAAGAATCTTTTTAAAACAACCCAGTATCTCTAAAATATGTTAAAAAAAAACTCTTTCTAAACACATTCTTAAGCATCTCATTTTTCAAATATACACTAAAACTACACTTCAAAGATTCTGCCAAAAAAAAAAACCCAAAACCCTAAAATCAAAAAACAAGAAAACTCAAGTCACTATGTACAAATAGCTATAATGATAAAAAAAATGAAAAAAGGCAATTTATAGAAGGAAAAAGAAGGGGAAGAAAAACCCGAACATATCAAACACCTGCTACTCAGTATTTCATGAACTCATGTTTTTCCCTGCTCTCAAAAGGAAAAAGGTTGGACATAAAATCAGACACAGAATTTAAAAAAAAAAAAAAAAAAAAAAGGGGCAAAACAAAACAGAAGACCCTAACCTCCTTAGATGTTGCTTATACTGTCTGGTAACAAAAATCTTTGAAGTCAGGGATCTACTTATTGTACTCTGCACTGCAACATGAAGCCAGCTGTTACCAAGCTACTTAAAACAGAAGAAACAAGTTTCTTTCCTATAAGGAAAAAGGATGCAACACATTTTCCCTAGTTATGATTTATATAATCATCAGGTTTACTCAAACACAGAACTTCTCTATTTAAGCTTACCCATCTTTTTTACTTAATATTCCTTAATTTAGTGCTATAGCATAGGAATTTCTTACATGATCAAGCTGCCTTGTGAGGAGAGCATTATAATCCGTATTATACAGCCATACAACATAAAAAAAAAAAAGAGAAAAACCCCATGACAAATACTTATGAAGAAGGGCAATGTTAGGATTATTTTTCCGTGATACCCTTCAAGACATCAATGCCAAAGTCTGCTTTATAGCACACACTTGGAGATTTTAACCCTGGACACAAACTAATCCTTTTAACAGTCATGCGGGTTGTACTAAAAGTGACTTCTATAATGAAACAGGTAACAAAAATGCATTACGCTAACCAATATCTACTAGTATTATGCTCTGTTAACTCCAGAGTATGTAACAGTCTCAAACAAAAATACCAACACCAACTACCTAAAAAATATACACAACAACCTGAATTAAACAAATTTGGCAAATTAAGCAAATTTGGGCAGAGAAGAGATTCAGAGCAGCCCTGCAGAGAAGGACTTGGGGGTGCTGCTCAATGAGAAAATGAACATGAGCTGGCTTCAGTGTGCACCCACAGCCCAGAAAGCCAACCATATCCTGGGCTGCATCAAAAGGAGCGTGACCAGCAGGTCAAGAGAGGTGATCCTGCCCCTCTACTCTGCTCTCGTGAGACCTCACCTGGAGTATTGTGTGCACTTCTGGTGTCCTCAACATAAAAACAACATGGAACTGTTGAAACAAGTCCAGAGGAGGGCAACGAGGATGATCAGGGGACTGGAGCACCTCCTGTATGAAGACAGGCTGAGAAAGTTGGGGCTGCTCAGGCTGGAGAAGAGAAGGCTGCGTAGAGACCTCATAGCAGTCTTCCAGTATCTGAAGGGGGCCTACAAGGATGCTGGAGAGGGACTCTTCACTAGGGACTGTAGTGATAGGACAAGGGGTAACGCGTTAAAACTTAAACAGGGGAAGTTTAGATTGGATATAAGGAGGAAGTTCTTTACTGTAAGGGTGGTGAGGCACTAGAATGGGTTGCCCAGGGAAGTTGTGAATGCTCCATCCCTGGCAGTGCTCAAGGCCAGGTTAGATAGAGCCTTGGGTGAGACGGTTTAGTGGGAGGTGTCCCTGCCCATGGCAGGGGGGGTGGAACTAGATGATCTTAAAGTCCTTTCCAACCCTAACTATTCTATGATTCTATGAAACACCATTCAAAAAGCTTGTCATTAGAAAGTTACTGAAAAATAAAAGGTGTTTGTCTTCCTTTATCAAGTTGTACTGCAGATTCAGAAAACTTAAATATCATTTGCACTGTAAGTTTGTGTAAACACTCATACAAAACAATTTAACAGGCTAAAAGTTTTATAATGAACTTTTCCAATATTTTTAGCTGCTACAGCCCTAATAAGACTTAATTTAGCATCTAACTGTCACATCCTATATCAAGTAAACATTCTTGACTGCCAGCAATTATATTACTACATGGTAAAACAGTCCTCTAATTCCTAACAATTTACATTTCACTTGAGAAAATAGAAAAGTTTAGGGTGGTTTGGATTTTTTTTTTTTTTCCAAAATTATGTGCAACAAGTATAACGTGACCTCTTGGAAAACTCTAAGTTGTCTTCAGCTATCAGGCTCTGAAAGACTTTACAGATATCTTAACTTACCTTTCTTAATTTTCAGCCTTAGTTTTACACGAATGAGTATTCATTTGGGCTGTTTTAGTAGTAGTACATCATGTACACTAAGGTCAAGTAACTTTATCTCACTGTTCTGAAAATGAACAAATCAAAACTCTTAAAAAAAACCCAAACAAAACAAAAACAGTGCAGAACTGTACCTGCAAATCTTATCAGTTTAAATTGCGTTTTCTTGATCTGTTAAAGACAATTAAGAGAACATCCGTATTTTTTTACCTATCAATTTCTGAGAAAATTTGAATACATGCAAGTCAAAACTACCATAATATAAACAAAAAGGTCCTCTTTCATGAAGATCATCAATAAATGACTACCTTCAATAAATAAGTCTATTTGGAAATTCTAGAGAATTCTTTTGTTCAAAAGGTTAGTCTTTTTTCTTTTCCATTACGTCTTTCTGTTTCAGTTCTCCATCTGAAAGTTCTGTATATTTTCCATTCTTTTCCTCCTCTTGCTCTTCCTCACTGCCTTCATCTGTGAGCTCCCGATCACCATTTTCCTTTTTAGCTGCCTCATGTTCATCTACCCCTCCATCTGTATCAGCTGTGCAGATTCCATAACACATAATGCTGATGACCCCCAAGGGCAACCCAAACAGAAAGCATCCCAGAAGTGGTGAACTCTTGAACACAGACTGTTGAAACACAAATTTGAAGTAAAAAATATTTTCAGTTAATATAAAAAATTACCACATCACTTCTCTTATTACTCTGGGTATTTATTCAGAAACATCAAAAATTACAGTCAGGTTTGGTTTTGGTGGTTTTTGTTTGGTTGGTTTGTGGTGGTTTTTTTTTGCTTAGTTTTGTTGTTGTGTTTTTTTGTTGGTGGTGGCTGCTTGGGGTTTTTTGTTTGTTTCTTTTTCTCCTCAGGAAGGAGGAGTTATCCTCATTTTAATAATTACTACTCTAAGTTCATTAGAAAAAAAAAAAAGACTTGGAAGTGCAAATATTACAATGTTGCATTGGGATAGCTAATGTTAACATGCCAAATGTATATCCAATTAATTATTTGAAGCTTAAGAAACAATTGTTCTAATGGTATTAGAATAACATTTTGAAGCAACCAGTTTCATCTCTTTGTGTCTCATTCTCAAAAATTAGTCTGAGTAATAAGGGATCTGCAGAAACATTCCACAGCTGTTATTAGACAGCTTTCTACTGAGCAGTAGTTTAATGGCTTAGGAGAATGGACTTTTAGTTTCAGAAAACATTGCACGTTGATAGAAGTTTTGAAGACACTGATAGAAACATGTAAGTTTCAATTTGAATCCACAGCATAGGTTTTTTGCTTGTGTAGAACAAGTGAAGAAATGGATTTGTGTACATTTTCCCAACAAAACTCTGTTAAGCATAATTAACCTATGAGAAAGATGATAAAAATATTTTCTTTAAAGCTACACAAAGTGTAGTACTTAATTCCCTTATGCTCTAGCTCATTCGACTTAAACGCTAACATTTCTCAGAACACAGAAGTGCTATCAGTTTCAGTGAAAGGATGTCACAGGAGTCAAGGAAAAGATTTTGAATCCTCCCTGTTCTATCCTTAAAATAAGTGCCAGACCAATACAGAAAAGGAATGGAAAATGAAGACACTAATGTATGTTGAATATTTAGCACACTGGAAAATATTATTAAAAACTTTAATCAAGAAGTTCATTTGGCTTATACCTCATGTACACATACCTATAACATATGCACAATGTATATCTAAACAAACTTTTTCTATACATTTTGACTGACAATGGCACCATCTAGTTTAATGAAAAATAAAACTCACCACTACAGTAGACTTGGCATCATAGATTATTCTCTTGATTCGTTGCAGAAGTCCATCACCACCCTGTGCCTGAAATTTCAAATGGAACCATGTCAAAACTGCTGACACTTTTCAGTTATGATTCCAAAAGTTCATTCTTCAGACCTTGCAATCTTAAGTCCCTTTAGAAGGAAATGAAAAGCAATTATTCTTGCATCTCAGGATGCCCAGATGCTCCAAGTTCTCACACATGGATAAACATCTTGGTAGTCTCATGAAAAAATCTCTCACAATTGTTTTAACAATCAGTGCAAATTTAAGCAGTGGACTGGCACTCCACTCTCTTACCATAAAGGAACACTAACAGAAACTACCAACTATCCTGATGTAACATTTATAAAATGGCAATGATCTTCTGAACTTTCCTGCAGCTATTTATAGATTTATTTATATCTATTTATCATTTATAACAGAAGCTGTTAGAAAAGTCTAGGCATTAAGTAACATGGAGATAGAAAGGCATAATAAAGAAAACTCATATCAAGCGATGACAGACTATACCTTCACTGCCATCTAATTTAGCAGTCTTCAAAATAACAAAGCAATTTGTCTGTTGAAGAGGACCAGTTTTCATCCGCCTTGAGCTTACAGAGAAACAAACCTACATTTTGGAAGTCAACTGAACTGCACCAGATGCTGGCCAAAACCCCTCAAATTACAAAAACGTCCACAAAGATGAAACAGACTCATAGAAAGCTACTTATAGAGCCATACAGAAAATGACAATAAAGTCAAGGTGGATAATACAACACTTCCCAAAGGAGGGAAGAGGAAAATATTACACCTCTCAGAAATTTCACTGTGGCTCAGAAATGCTGCATCATGTTACTTGTTTACTTTGAAGACTGTCATTCAACAGCTGCACAATTTCTTAGGCCTGAATGTAGCCAAAGTAATGCCAGTTTATGTCTACAGATGCAATTAAGCTTAAATGAAGTCACATTCTGTATTGTCTGTCTTGCATTATCACTTTCGCATAGATACAGATGTGAGCTTAGACAGACATTTAATAATTCTAGCTGAAATACTGGAAACAAAAAGGTAGCAAGACCTAAGTGACACTGTCAGAAAAAACAAGGCATCACAAATGAATTTCTTCAAAGTCAAAAACCAAACAAACCAATGTCATTTGTTATTTCAACCTGAAGGGTATGTTTAATAGAGCAAATTAGGTGTTGATAACATAATTCAATGCAATTAAAGCATTAAAAAACTGAGAACTGAAGAACAAAAGAACCACCAATTAAATTACAGGAATACCTCTCACCTTCCAACTAGAAGCATGACAAGTAATGAATAGCAAAAACCCCCACCTATATTATGTTGCTACATCAATTTGTCAGATTAAATAAACCAATGTACCACATAGGACTGAACAATCTACAGCATTATTATCATTACCACCTGATGACCTAAAACTGCTGACATAAAGTAAAGTGGGATTCAGCCAAAACAGTAAGCTTGCAATATACAGTGAACTGGGGCTTAAACCAACATAGGCTTCTCTCAAGAGGAAGCCAAATGATTTGTTAGCACAGCCCCACTTCATGCCCCATCACCACACATGAAACCTCTGATCCATGATCCCCCCCCTCATCCACATAACAAAGCCTTCTGTCCATCTTACAGTACACTGCAGGAATAAGCACACCCAAGTTTGTTTTGCCAACAGTAAGAAACTGTCCAAGCCATCAATTCCAGATTGATCTATTAATGTTGTTGTTTTAACGAAACCCAGCTCATTTTAGTTTTAGGCAGAAAGAAAGGGGTAATCTTGTGTCTCTTTGTAATTTTCAAAGCAAATATACCACTAGTTTTTGAGTCTAAACCTATCATTCATCAAGCTATTAGATTTATTAATTACTGCCCAAAAGAAAGGGTAGAGCTTAATTATGTGTTATGAAAAAAAAAATAAGAAATATGTTTAAAGCAAACCAGGAAATGAATAAAAAGCTATTTACCAATGACACCTGTAAAAGAAATATCAAGAGAACTCATCTAACATTATGCTATAAACAAAAAAAAAGGTTGCTTTCTCCAAGAGATTCTGCAGTCAGAACAGCAAGCAACGGCACAACTCAGGAATTCACAATTCACTGACAGAACATAGCAGAGGAAGACAGACAAGACAGGAAGATAAAATACATGGCATAACAGAGTAACCAATTTTTTTCCCTACTTTAGCATCTATGGAAATAAACACCAACTAACATATTCCAAGTCACAATGAAGACTTACTTCAGCAGTACCATCCAAGATATTGTTAATAAACTGAACCATGTCTTCTGTGTTCTCAATATGCCTATCTGGTAGGAAATACTGCTGATTGGAGGTATTCAATACAACAATAGTAGGGATTGTCAAGTCACTGGAAACAAAAAACAGATAGTTAAAATATTTAAAGAACTACTGTGTAGAACACTGCAACCCAAATAATTCCTATATCATTTAAAACGGTATCCATTAACCTTCACTTCATGTGTGTTCCTTAGCAGTTCCCTGAAGGCAAGAAGGAAGGGGGAAGAGAATCAGCTGAACAGTACAAGCATGTTTCTCATTACTGTCTTTTCCTTCACATGTGTCAGTGACACTATTCAATCTTCCTGAATTTTACATACCCATAGTGACTGCAAATCAGGTACCTTTTGACCTGCCAATTAGTAAGAGATCACAGATAGTAGCCTTGTATTTGTACACGTTAAGTATTTTAGTGCACAAAGTATAATCCAAATCCCATGCAGTATGGTACAACTGATCAGCTCTATCAGTCAACCTCTACCTGTCAAGTCAAAAGAATGAGCCACACCAGTCAAAGTTTTTCTACATCTGTTTTAGATATAGCAGATGAGCTACAGAGTTTTTAAATAACTGTTACTCAGCAGTTGACTTTCACATGCATAAGCATTGTTTAGTATCACAGAATCAGAAAGAAATAAAGCTGGGGGGGAGGGGGAATCAACAAAAAAACTTGTTAGAAATTATCTCTGGAGACAAACCAGTATAAACTACTGTTCAAAGCAGACCTAAATTCAAAATCAGATCAAGCTTAGGAAAATTTAACACTGAATAAGTGCGTTGTTTAACAAGGAAGATTTAAAATACATTAAATAAGAGAAAAAATCTCCTGTACTTTGCCAATTTTCTGGTGTTATGTCAATAATGTATTTAAATACTAGGTGTCTTTCCTTCACAAAGAAGCAATGCAAACCTTGTTTTTCTCCATTTTCACTCTTGTCTAATAGTGCCCCATCCACATGTATTGGTAATCCATGTAATACTGATGATGATTTCAGCCTTAACTGTGGCTATTATTTCATGATAATTGATTAATGCGTTTCTTCAAAGAGCTGAGGAATTAATACTCTACATACTCCTATAGGTGACATTCCAATGATGCTATATACCTTAGCTTACATGAAGGTGTATCTTTGCTTTCAGTAAAATACAGTCTGCTTTCTTCTTTTCTGCATAGTTTTAACTGTACAATTTTTAATCCAACAAAAGCATGTTCATCCTTCTGAAGAGACAGATAAATTACAACGTCTACTAATGGAGTTACAGCAAAGTTCAAAAGTGTACTACTTTTCAAGGACTAGTACTTCTATCCCCACAAACATACAATATTGTCCCTTGTGAAGAAACAGGATTTGTTCCTATGTGCACCTATACAGTAAGAAAGTATTGTGCAGTAGGTTTCTCACTATTCAGTTTTTTTCTGTTTCCACTTGCTGCCATCTGGTGGAAAACTGAAGCCCTCACAATGCGTTTTACCTCGAACTACTCAAGTTGCCACATGAAAAGCAGCTACTTTGAATAGTGAACAGATTTTGCTGCATTCGTTTGCTACTTCCCACTTAAACTGGAAACGTACACACTCTGTTTAAAAATAATTAAAAGCTTCTAATTATTTTAACAGCAACTTTCTATATACTACAAATTCTAAAATCAGGCATTTTGCAGATTAAGTTAAACAATCCAGTTGAACTCAATCTTGCCAACAGATCACTACTGCTGTAAGTGGCAATTCTATCTTCTTTTTCTTCATTTTCTTCCTCCTAAAGAAGGCCTCATCTGCCTGCCCTGCTTCTTTTCACATCAGTTCTAGTACTCAGCAGAATACATAGGAAGACATTTAAGGGTTTTGTTGGATCAGCAAAACAACTCCCTTACTCACATAGACAAAAAAAATGAAACACTTTTCTGTCAGAAGAACAGGCTCAAACAGCTCAGTTGATAGTCTGACATCACAGCCCGCAACAGAGATGCAATTAATGAAGTGAGGAAGGCCTCACTTTTGGCAGCTATAAAGCACTACATCAATCACATCACTAAACTTCAATTGAGAGACAGCTGGTTTTAAATTAATTGTATTCAGGTGTTAATCTACATAGAACTATAGACCTCGTGCCTCCTGAAGCCCCTTGAAGCTCAGAGTCTTTAGGGGCATGAACACATGCTTTGTCCATTGGAAAACTTAGAGCTAGCATACCGACCTCTGTTTTTCCCTTCTTTCACTCAAAAGGCCAGAGTAGTGAACTGTAAATGCCAAGCAACTTAATTCTCCATGCATTTTTAGACAAGGATAACAATAAGGGCAAATGTCAAGCAGCTTGCTAAATTACTTATATATTTCAAAATGTACCGTGTACATATCAAGTGTGGACAGCAACTTCCACACATTTGATGCTGCTTCTCTGCAGAAACATACTTCTATGTCTTAAAAATGCATCAAGGATGAAATGTGCCTCTCCAGAAATAAAAAAAACATAGCTAATGTGTAACCACTATTTACATTTCCTGTTACAAACTGACATAACTTTTTACGTATCTAGTGCATTGTAAATTTAACGAAGGAAAAACCCACACAGTTCTAACAGAAAAATTTAAAGCAGACCTAAAAGAAGCCCTGTCTACCACCATTATCAGTTTATCAATAAGCCAAACTTCTACCATTAAATTATGCAGTTTAATTTAACAAACAACTGATACTAGGCTATATGCTGAATTCTGAAGACAACAATTTTTCCTCTAAATGCACAAAAGGCAAGAATTCTTCATAAGATTGTTTTCAATAAAATATATTTAGCAACAAGTTCAAGAGAAGAGAGAATATTCAACTAAGAATTTACTTACTCCATTAGTAAACTATTAATGTAATCATTTCCATCCATATGGCCAAACTGGAAATCCCTGTAAGAGAAGCAGTGAAAAACAGGTTGATGAAAAGGAAAAAAGAAGAGCGAGTTTCAGCAAAGTTCTTCCTTAATTTTTTTTCCGATAACTGAAGATTCGAGCACACACTCAGCAATATAACTGACAAACTGATGATCTACAAAACAAACAGCATCCCACAACATAATTAATGGAATGGTCTTATAAAATACCACTATACAAATATAAAAGCAAGCACTCTAACATTTGTCATGTAAAACTAAAAAAATGACTGCTGTCTTAAAAAGATTAATGCAGAAGTTCACTTAAGATATTATAGTACCATGTCTGCTTACCTGTGAAAGTGATCCCTATAATCTCTAGCAACTTCCTGAATAATAGATTTTAGTCTGGATGGAAAAAAAAAGTAACGTTATTAATCCAGGATATACTCTGTCAAAATACAAACAATAAACATGGAGATTTCACCAGTAAGCAGCAAATAGTACCTCATCAGCATTAAGGATCCCCTGTTCCATTAACAAACAAACCTCATTGATCTTGCTTGGTTTCTAAAGGTTGAAAGACTATCTACCACATAATCTCAACAGAAGAAAAACAGACAGATGTCAAGCTGCTTCACGCTATCTGAAGATACAGCACTTTGAAGAAAATCCAAAGATGTCTGGGAAAATAGCATATACAGTATTTGAACAATATTTTCTTACTCATCTATGCAACCAGAGAATGACAGGGGAAGGTATGTTCCTCTCAGTCTCTTCAGCAAATTCCAACCCAATTGAAAATGCCCCTTCCTAATTTAAGTTCTACAGACAACTAATATATAAGCATGACTAAATTAATTTTTAATGCAACTGAGCTGAGGAACTGCCACTGGTTTAAACTAAGTTCATCCCAAAGTCATCTGAACTCAAGTACTCTTACCTATGATTAAAAGGTGATATAACAGCTTAAAAAAGCTATGTGATCACTGTTTGCTCCTGTGACCTCATTAGCAAATGGCAGTAGAGCGATACAGGAACTCCCACAATCTCATTGAACTCACACGTTCTTCAACAGAGCCATAAATTAAATAAATTCAGTAGGGTAAAGTCAGAAATTAGAGAACATCCACAGGTTAAACCCATTCATGTAACCTAGCATTTCTTAACATTTAAGAAACTTCCAAAGTTCTCTACGTCATACCAGCACATTTCTCCCACAGTGACACCAATACTCAATTCTGTACCTGGTATGTTCCGCTGAAGAGTTTTTATCATCAATGACTGCAATAGCCACAAGTTTTCCTAAAATAAGGAATAAAATACTTGAAACCACTTAAAGAGAAACACGCATTCTCAGATGAAAAATATTCCAACCTAGAAGATCAGATACTCTCCAGGGAGGGCAATTAGTTTTAAGTATAAACCAACTGCTGTAACAAATAGCCTCTTCTACCTGCCCAAATGTGGTTTTCTTAAAGGTACTGAAAATAAGATATGGCTTAATGCCATACCACATACATTCCATGTAATTTATGCAAAACCTCATCTGCTCTTAAATTGAAAGTCCTACTAATTTTTTGTGACTACTACAGGATTAGACACACTAATTTTTATGCTGTGAGGAAAGGACTAGTGCAGGCCTTGCATGAAGCCTATAGACAACAGAACAGATCTCACCAATATCAAAAAAAAAAAAAAGACTGGCACTATCAACTCTAGCTCCAAGATTAATTGTTGAGATTTCAAAAACACATTCTTAGCGCTCTTTAACTTTTCTAAGCATTAAGTACAAGAGATGCCAGAAAGTTTAGTGATAGCAGCATCTCACCTGTATCTCCAAGTTCATATAGTGTGAAGCCATCTACGTGAAGATAACCTTGAAATCTTTCCCTATTTATCCAGGACGACAAATCACCATCTTCATACTCTAAAAAAAAAAAAAAAAAAAAAAAAAATCATTCTGGCTATAGAGGCACTTTATTTTTTCTTGTATTTTTTCCTTTTATTATTGTAAGACAAGATCTCACACATTTCCCCCAATTCCTCTTAAGTTTTAAAACTTCTACAGTTATTTTCAATTGTCAAACAAAAAGTATTATAGCAAAGCAGGAGAAGCTGATTTAATGACTTTTTTCCTAAATCAAGGATAAACAATACTATTTTACAAGATAATTGTGCATCGTTTCAAAGTAAAGAGATACGAAAATACTGCAGTATTTGTAACGAGTCCTTAAATGAAATACAAAGAAATCAAGAAAAATTAGATGCATTAACAGCATTGTGAGTGTAAATTCAGAGTCAGTTATACTGAAGGTTAGTTTCCAATACCAGGTATTTTAACCTGTAATGACTCAAATTCTAGCACATACCACCAACACCACTGTAATTAGATCTTAATCACAAGTGAAAAAGAAAAACATATATAAACATATATATGTATGATGCATATACACACACACAAATGCTAATTAAATACATTTGTGTTTAATCCTATTGTATAGGATGAATAAATCTATTGTATAGAATGAATTATCAGTAACTTCAGGCTAACAATTAATTGTCTAAAAATCATAGCAAGTAATTCCTACCATAAAGCTTGTCATAGAACTGCATCCCATTCCCCTACTATGGGGAAGAAAACCAAAACAAAACAGTAGACAACGCCAGAGCACTGAAATGGATTTTGTTAAATCTTTTTCTTACAATAAGCTCTTAAAATTTCCACCCAATCCTAACAGTTGCAGATATAACTTTATCCAGTCTCTTATACTGCATATTCCTAACTTGCTTGATTTACAAACCACTACTTACCATCATAAACAAAGTAAGTTCCATCTTTGAAGACCACAACAGCAGGCAATTCAGGCAACATCACATACTGGAACAGGTTAAACCATGGAAGAGTAAAAGATTTTTAAACAAAAAAACAAAAAATCTTTAAACGTGGAAATGTAGTCCATGGGGGAAATCTCAAAGTACATTTAAATGTTTTCTGTCTGCATTTACTAAAATAAATGTATCAGCTTCTGTGTATTAAAAAGTAACTCAAAAATGTTTCTGAGAGGTAGGTCTCACAAAGTTTAAATGAAGCATGGCTTTTAGTAGTATCTACAGTAGCAGGAAGAATATTTTGTTGGTTGGACACGAACTTTAGATAGGAGACCATAACTTGAGGTTTTTACCAATCACGCTTGCTGCTCCCAATTTGTGCTGTTGTCAGCATATCCATCATACTGTTACTGCTACTAAACGGACAGTCAATATTGTACAGTAAACTAGTAACACTGACTACATGTCCCACTAAATCTGGGGTATGTCCTGCGGCTCAGGATGACAGGAATATAGACACAGCTTCAGCAGACAGGGCTGCAAATTGCCCTAATTTAGGCAAACAGAACAATGAATGCCTGCAATATAGTAGCTAGGATGGTTAACACCACACTAAAGAAAAAAAAACACCTCAGAAATACAGTGTGCAGAAACTTTTCCCTTGGAATTTAATCTTATTCAGCTCATGTTTTCAGTAACTGTCAGAGAAGACATGCTGCATCCATTCTTTACTGCTAGCTACCATGATAAGTTAAAATTCTAATAGCATTTGTGGTTAAGAAAGGACTGCATTATGAGCTTATTTTTGATGGTGATGTTGGCTGAACTGTCTTGATCTTCTGATATGTTTGGAAAACACATGAACAGTATCATGAGTGCTTTTCCAAATGACATGCCTTCTGTAATCATTCTGCATTATCTTTCTTGGAAATAAATGTAAAAGCAGTAGGTTTATAATGTAACAGGTCATATGAATGAGCAAAAAGGTGGTAATTCTAGACGATACTTCATTCTCTCATTTGCTGAAAACACAGCTTAGCCTCCTTAAAGGGCAAAAGCAGGCTATGTGCAGCTTACAGCTTGCAAAAGATACCTGAAGCATGGAGCAAGGTTACCTAGAGTGACAAAACAAAGCCCAGTAGTGAATACTATCATGCAAAGCCTAATTACGACTAGCAACCACTAATTTCCTAAGATTTTTGCTTCTCTCCATAGAATGTTGCATACCATCACTAGTTCATGTTAAATGATATTTGTGGGAAATTACATTCAGTGGGAAAAACAGCTCACTGCTTACATTGCTGGGATCACAGGATCTCAAATTGTTCCAGCCTTTTACACTCTTTCCACTAAAGCAGTGAACAGTACTTTTGTTGCTCAGCTGGGGCTGCAATGTAAACAGCAACTGAGCTAGCTTTTGATACGAGACTTCTGGAAATCTAACAATACAGAATTTATTATGAGGTGTTGGGACCAGTCTTGTTCAACATCTTTGTCCGTGACATGGACAGTGGGATTGAGTGCGCCCTCAGCTAGTTTGCCAGTGACACCAAGCTGTGTGGCTCCGTTGATACGCTGGAGGGAAGGAATGCCATCCAGAGGGACCTTGACATACTTGTGAGGTGGGCTGATGCCAACCTCATGAAGTTTAACCATGCCAAGTGCAAGGTCTTACACCTGGGTCAGAGCAATCCCAGTCACAGCTACAGGTTGGGCAGAGAAGAGGTTCAGAGCAGCCCTGCAGAGAAGGACTTGGGGGTGCTGCTCAATGAGAAAATGAGCATGAGCTTCAGTGTGCACCCGCAGCCCAGAAAGCCAACCATATCCTGGGCTGCATCAAGAGAAGTATGACCAGCAGGTCAAAGGAGGTGATCCTGCCCCTCTACTCTGCTCTTCTGAGACCTCACTTGGAGTATTCTGTGCAGTTCTGCTGTCCTCAACATAAAAACAACATGGAACCGTTGGAACAAGTCCAGCGGAGGGCCACGAGGATGATCAGGGGACTGGAGCACCTCCTGTATGAAAACAGGCTGAGAAAGTTGGGGCTGTTGGGGCTGGAGAAGAGAAGGCTGCATGGAGACCTCATAGCAGCCTTCCAGTATCTGAAGGGGGGCTACAGGGATGCTGGGGAGAAACATTTCATTAGGGACTGTAGTGACAGGACAAGGGGTAACGGGCTAAAACTTAAACAGGGGAAGTTTAGATTGGATATAAGGGTGGTGAGGCACTGGAATGGGTTGCCCAGGGAAGCTGTGAATGCTCCATCCCTGGTGGTGCTCAAAGCCAGGTTGGACAGAGCCTTGGGTGACATGGTTTAGTGGGAGGTGTCCCTGCCCATGATAGGGGGGTTGGAATTAGATGATCTGAAGGTCCTTTCCAACCCTAACTATTCTATGATTCTGTGTGCCTAAAAAAAATACATTATTCTAGTTCTCACTCTGCTAATACCAAACTAATGTCAAAGTTATGCGTTACCAGCCCTGAAGTAGTTAGGTCCCACTTGGAGATAGCAATAAATCAAAAAGCCTCTTTATTTTGCTTCAATATGCCACATGAGAATTCTGTAGCCAGTAGACTGAGTGGATCAGTCTAGCCCTTGGTAAACTAATGTTTTGATCAGCTGTACTGAGCAATGTGAAAAGAACTTACCTTTTCACTTACTTCTTTGATTATTAGGGTACCCACTGGTACCCCATGCCATAACTCCCCAAACTAGTTACACAAGTGGTTTGTGAAAGAACGTAGGAGCAACAACAGCTTTACACTGGCTAAAAAAAAAAAATCAAGTATCTCACTTCTTGAGCAGGTCATACGGTGCTCGTTGAGTTCTGTATATCTGCTGTTTATTTTCATTAATATGACCGAATAAGTAATTTGGCCAAGACAAAGCAATGACAGACCAAAACGTGTTTTGCACTCTTTCCCAATATAGACTCAAAAATTAAATGTTTCAGTGCAATTAGTTTGAAATTTATCACAGGCAAATCACAGAATCATAGAATAGTCAGGGTTGGAAAGAACCTTATGATCATCTAGTTCCAACCCCCTTGCCGTGGGTAGGGACACCTCCCACTAAACCATGCCACCCAAGGCTCTGTCCAACCTGGGCTTGAACACTGCCAGGGATGGAGCATTCACAACTTGGATGAAGCATTCACAACTTAAAAGCCAGTTCTGCACCATTAAACCAGCAAAATTACATGTGAGGAGAACTACTCTGTTTTTGCAGAAATGGCAGGAACTGAGACAGCTTACCTCAGGCAGCACATCTTCTGAGGCAGAAAAAAAGTATGTATAAACTATGAGTTCTGAAGCAACTTCAATGTATTTTTCCTGCAAAAATAGAAGCAACAGAAGTTTCGTAACATACCTTATCTTCAAAGAGTAGTTAGAAAATACGGTTATGACACAAGATTGTAAAAACACATCAATAAAAATGAAAAAATTGCGCATATTACAAGCATGTACTTCAGTCTATGAGAAGATACTTTACATCTGTGAATAGTCAAAAGAAGTAACTTTATTCAGTCAAGCTTCAAACCTTTAAAGGAGATTCACCACCAACATACACAAAAAGTACATGATGTCTCTTTTGCACGTGGTCAAACATATGTTGGCTAGGAAGTGGCCTGATAAGAGGTCTAGGAGGAAGGAAAAAGAAAGAATAAAATCAGTTTCTAAGGTGCAAAACCCAAAGAAACAACCCCCCCCCCCCCCCCCAATACCATATTGGGATTTTTTATTTCTTAAAAAAACTAGATTTCCCGATTTGTTATTTCAGTTTGAACTAAAAAAAAAAACAAAAAAAAAAACCTCAAAACCAACCAAGCAAACAACCAAAAAACCTCAAAAAAAAAAACCAAACAAAATCACACACACACGCAATATTTGTTATGTTTCTCAAATAGCACACTTAAATATGAAATTAACACCTTAGTAAAAAATGCTGTTTTGATGTAATTGTGCACACCATTTACTGGTCACAGAATCACGGACTGTGTTGGAAAGGACCTTAAAAATCATCTAGTTCCAACTACCCTCTGCCATGAGCAGGGACACCTTCCACTAGACTAGGTTGCTCAAAGCCCCATCCAACCTGGCCTTGAACACTCCAAGGGATGGGGCAGCCACAACTTCTTTGTGTTCCAGTGTCTCATCACTCTCGCAGTAAAGAATTTCGTCTTTATGTCCAATCTGAATGTACCCTTTTTCAATTCAAAACCATTGCCCCTTGTCTTGTCAGTACAGGCTCTGGTAAAAAGTCTCTCTCCATCTTTCTTATAAGCCCTCTTTATATACTGAAAGGCCATGATAAGGTCTTCACAGCCACAATTTGAGACAGAAAATTCTAAGCACAGCAGATAGAAAATCTTAGAAATAAATACTCCTACAAAATTCTGGTAAATTATTAGAGATCACCAATATTCCTAAACTCCAGAATTCTGAACAATAATTAATATCATGTACCTATATAAATGCTTCTTAATTATATTTAAGAATGAAGGAAAAATATGTGATTTTCTCCCTGAAGATTACAGTCTATAACATATTAAAGCCACAGGCTACTGTAGGGAAGGAAGAAAAAGCCAATAGGGTTGTGAACCATTCTGTAAAAGCAATTTCCTTACACTGCCAATTGCTGCAACTTTTCAGATACGTAAGCATGCATTAAGCCGAGATAACTTTTCAGTATTAAACGGTCTGTCTTAGCAATGACATCTATCAGCCAGCATTTAGGTCAGTATTCTTGTTTCTGGCTTCCATGAGTTTAATTTCTTCCTAGTTTCCATTGCTTTGAAAAGCCCTCAGTTACTGCACTGTAAAGAAGGGATGGGGACTAGCCATACTCTACTTACTTTCTCCATGCCACTCACCAACAACCTCACAAGAAACTGCATGTATAATGCATACTGGTTTTAACTTCGTGTCGATCTCATTCTTTTTAAAGTAGATGTAATTTTTGGCCCAGCTCAAAATCCTATGTTTTAAGTCACAAGATCCAAAGCACACTTTGAATCAAAGAGGAGTATACTTACCCTGCCACTCTATTAGCAAATTCTATTATATCATCTTTGGTTCTAGGTCCCCTGTAGTTGTATGCCAAGTCACCTTTTAAGCTAGGTAAAATAGGAAACACAAGAACAGAACTGAAATCAACCTAACTATACCTGCACATGTAGAATTACTCAGTGTTCACACGTTTATTAAAGTCACCCTTCAGAAAGCAATAAGCAAGGTAATTTTTCACAGTCAGATAAAATAAATGGTCAGCAAAATATAAAACTCAACGATGCAACACAACACAATTATGGAGTAAAATTTAATTACACGATATCTGATTTACTGACTTCTAACAATAATTAAAATTCTTTTACAATTATTTTTTTCTAGTGCACAGCATTCATTTACTTTGTAAACACACAGATCATTTGGAGCATTGCTTGTGACCACAAAAAAATAACATCCCACACCCAAACCAAACCCCAAACATTCAGTATTTATAGCAGATTCGGAATTGGGCCTTGTGAAAGACAAGTATATAAGCTTCTTTAATGCATTTTTTAAAAAATAATTGAAAAGTATCAAATGACCTGTAAAACTTTCTTAATTTATGTATTAAATTAAGCTTTCATGAAGTGCTGGTCAGTTTATTGTACACTGCTGACAGGGGATGTAGCACACTTGCATTATAAGAATCCATGCAGGTTTAGCAAACTCATAGGAAAAAAAATAATCTGAATTTTCTATGCTTCTGTATGTCAACAAAGTTTTTCATCCTTAAATATTAAGCTAAACATCTCGGCTGTTTTTTTTGAAAAAAAAAAAAACAAAAAACTTGACAAGATTTATTTTATATTATGAATACTTAATTCCTTAAACAAAAAGCTGCTAGCAAACCTAGTATGTAAATAGTAAAAAGTACTCAAAATTAAGTCTTCATTTAATATTACCTTGTGCTGGAATATATGTGTTATAAGCAAATACATTATTATGAACTGGTATTGCAATATAAATTTTGTCCTTCATTAATTTTGCTTTTAAATACATGAATTAAAAAAATCTACATATGCTTCTCTCGTCAAGCAGCTGCTTTCACACTTCATCCTATGCAGTAACCACTACTATAATTTAATTAAGATTTTCAGGTACACTGAAGAGAAGAGAGGCAATTAAAAATAAGAAAATGCAATCAGCAACTTAGTAAAGGTTAACAGGAAGACTCAGGTATGCACTTACTGCCTGAATCACTCTGAAGATGTAAAAATCAATTGATGTATAAAATTCCTTACATATATAAGGAATATATAATACGTATATTTACTTACATAAATAAAAATATATGTAAGTAAATATATATTTGAAATATATATTTCTATACACACACTCTTTAAAATTTGCGCAGCAAACAGCAGTTAAATGAATTCCAAATTTGCTAACCTGGCTTTAAGAATTCTGTTTCTAAATAAGATGCTTGATTGAGATTGCTGAATTTCAAAGCCATGGAATCCAGCAGAAAACAAAGATGATGCTACATTGACATGGTGGAGTATTTTGTTTGGTTGGTTTTGTTTTGGGGGCTTTTATGTGGTTTACTTTTTTTCATTATTATTTTTTAAGCCGAGAGGAGTATGTATTTTACTGTCATGAAATCAGTGATAGGAGAGGTAAGTGTTAGAAATTCAATGGGAAGCATCAACTTACAGCTTAATTGTTGGATAGCCTCGCACTCCAAATTCAGATGCAATACCTGAAAGAAACGTGTTAATGCCAAAGTAAATGAAGGCTTTCTTGCTCTCTTACCTTAATTTTTAAACGTAATTTAGCACTGAAGCCACATAAATAAATGAAAAACCTACCACTTAATTGAGCAGGAATTATTTTATGTGCTTTCAAGAAGCTGCTGTTATGACACATTAAATTTCGGACCTCTTTCAGAGGTACTGCAGAGTACCAGCACAGGGTCTCAATTAATATGTCAAATGGCCTAAGAATCCTCTAAATAGACATGCCTGGTCACTTTTCACTTGAAGGTAATATGCATTTAAAATACACATACAAGTAGCACCAGAGACAAAAATTAAGCACCATGGATGTACAGCTGTAAATACTAACACTTAAAAGAAATATAAAAGACAATTAACTACTTACATGCTACAGTAATGGGTAAAACAAAACTGCAGTAGTAGTAGTTACTAAAATGTCAGGTTTTGAAGCAAATTCTGCAGAGATAAACTTCTACAGTCATCCACTTCACCAGAAATAGGTTCTAGCCATTCAGTTACTTACCTGCTGCTTATTGAAGTGGCAAAAAAAAAAAAACAATTCCAGAACTTTTTTCCCCACCTCATGTTTAAAACTTTATCTCTTGCTCCTATTACAGTACAACTTGCAACTGCCCTTCCATTTGTGAATACAGCAACTGCCACCTTAAACTTCACTATCCAGTATTTTCCAGAAGTAAACTAAGTAGGATGCAAAAAAGGCTAAAAAAAATTTTAGAAAATCTAAAATTCTGACAATGCCTGTGCAATTCCAACTGAAAAATAACCCCTACATTCAAAATGCATCAAGATTCAGTACTTCTAACATAAACATTCTGAAGCTAACAACCACATGCCAGAGCAGCACATGTGGGAGAACTTATGTGCAGGGCTCTGAATAAAAGTTTAGAAATTGTAACCCTAAAGTTGGGTGAAAATCCTATTTGCACAGAACTACAATTTAAACTACCAGCTCACATTCTGGCATCTTAATCAAAGGAGACCAATCTAAGAAAGATGTGTATTAGGATTGATTTGATTCTGATCCTTTTCCCTCATAGCTGTACCACACAGAACTAGAATGAATTACAATGTGTATTAGAACATCCCATCACAAGAGCTGTCAACAGACAGTTAATATGTCCTCTCAACATCATGGAAGTGACTTACTTATTTACATCATCATCTCCGCTTCCTGATATGAAGAATGCATACATGTTTGCCTATAAAGGCAAACAGGAGCAATTATGTTCTTTTTTGATCACATTCGGTGGACTTCTGAGGCTAACCCCTATGAAAATTCAAGATACCACACCAGGTGACTGTTCTGTTGATGTTACTGCTGTATCCTCCTTCCACACAGCTACCACAGGCAACACTTACTGGATGCTTTACACGTTCTGCTGTGATCTCAACACTGATGACAAGCTACCCAACGGTCAGATTTTTCACACTACTTCACATTCATATTAGGAACACAAACTATGCAGAATCAACCATTCAAGCTCCTTCCTAATTGTGTGTGTGCTCAGCTGCATTTCCTTCTGATATTCTCAAGACTGAATTACTAATTGATTTCAGAGAATCTTTAGACTGGGAAGACATTAAGCAGAGTTGACTGAGGTTTTCATATTCAGATGTAAAATCTCCAGTTTGGAAATAAAAGCACAAAACTATTTCAAAAGATTTATTGGACTCTATTCTTCATAGAACTGGTAACAAATCTGAGAAGAAAAACATGTCCATGGCACAAAGGAATCTCTGCAGGTTTTAGTAATTTTTAAATATGCAAACGTGAATTTCAGAGCAAAAACAAAGTGCCAATTCTATTGCAGGTATCAAGCACAAAAATTTATTATCAGCATGACAGATGCAAATGTTTCATTTTTCAAGAGTTCATGTTTCAAGAGTTTATACAACTTATATAATTTAGAATTTTATATATATATGACTGGGATGTTAGAGATCCACCAAATCTATTCCCAATTTTGAAGTTACCTGGTTGCATAATCTTGTTATTTTTAATAAACAAGACTAATTTTTCTTTAGTAAAAGTGTATCTTCAAGATGAAACATGAGGTAAAACTTCTGTTGTTTTACAGAAAAACTACATACAACAAATTGGTGTCTGAGACAAGATCAAACTGATCTCAAAAGACCAAACTCTGCTACATATAATCACAGAAGAACTGGAATATCACTGAAAAAAAACCATTTTGCATAATATTTATGCAAATATAAAAATTCTGAAGAATCAGTTTTAATGTGTATTAACTAAAAACGTTACCTGTAATAACCAAGTTTTATTACACACAGATCTTACTTGGTCCACACTGCTCCCCCTGTGCCTTCCCTCTTAAACACCCTCTTGGTTTAACACAGATTTAAATGAAATGACAATAAAAAAGCATGCTAAAACTAAGAAAATGATGTTAAGAATGCAACAATCCTCTTATGTCTACCTAAGCCAATTATCTGAAGAGCTAACATTTTGGCTTTTCCCTGCAAAGGTCAGTACATACGAAAGGCATCATCAAAGAAGAAAGCATTAAAATAGCTGAAATTGGTTCTTCAACAAGACATTTACAGAGAAACATGGGGAGAAATTGGCTTGACACTGATGTAATGACTTCAGTGATTTAAGCATGCTTTTGGTGTAACATCTTAAGGGACAATTACCTGGAAAGAATAACAGCAAGAACACAAGCTCTTCAACAGTAATACAGAGAACCTAAAATTGCATGTTGTCAAGAGACACACCACATAAAGAAACCTGTATAACAGTACTTTAAGAAGTATATCAGAAGCAGATCTTTCAAAAGCTTTTACCTTCCCTTTGTCAGAATTTCCCACACAAGCAGACAGAAGTGTGATAAACGCACACTACAGCACATTGTCACTTTTAGAGAGAAAAAGATCAGGAAACTGTTCTCTACAATACAGAAAAGAAGAATGACTTAACAAAAAAAAAGTGAGAACAGTATCAAAACAGAGGGTGCCATGAAATTACCCCTCACCAAACCATGCTTACTAGAAAAGGAAGTTGCATCCATCTTCCCAACTTTTACTGGAGAGCCCATGTTTCTCATTTCTATACCCACTTCATTCCACACAGGCTCCAGTTTCTTGCAGTGGCCACACCAAGGTGCATAAAACTGAGAAGCAAATACATTTAAAGAAGAGGAAAAAAAAAAAGAGGAAAAAAAAGTTAATTAAGATAAACAGTTAAGAGAAGGTGATTCTATGATTAACTGTCGAATACATTAGCAAGGATTATTTTCCAGTCGTGGTGCTCTTACGAGTCTTTATAAAACCGCAAGTTAATGACAAAGCTGGAGTGACAAACAGAGCTCTTCTGATTTGGTGCTACTTTTCATATGAAAGCACAAGTTTGAAAAGAATACATTCAATTGCTGTCTTATTATTTCTTATTTAAAAATAGACTGTGCAGTAACATTTTTTTATTACTTGTGAATATTTTCCCTTTTTTAAAAAAATATCATGTAATCAATCTATCCAGGAATACGAATTTACTTGCCAACAAGGGAACACTATTCTTCCAAAGGAAACACTATACATATATATGTATACACACTTCCCCAAGCTGCCCTCTGGATTTCTATTCTTCAGCAACCACTTTTATATAAGCACACTGTAAAATCAATCTGTTTTCTCACAGCCAAGCAGAACTCAAAGACTTCATTTCATCTTTCTGAATACATCTTGCTGCAAAACCTCAGTGAAATTAATTGGGAAGATACCAGTATTTTGGTGTAACAAGATCAGGTCACAACTTGACAAAGTTGGATTTTGTTTTTCTATACAGCACTGATTAATTCTGAATTAGCATACATAGGTTTCCTGACTCAAATCTCAAAACTGAAGTAGACAATTTGGGAATTTCAGAGCCTATGTGAGTTGCAAAGAATTTTATCTCATTCCCAAACATGCTCAATCTTTCCAGTAACGTCCTGCTTCTGAAATAAGGAGCACTGAATCTTTTCAAATATATTAGAGAAGTAAAAGAAGTTCCTTGTATATTTGATGTTATAGTGCTAGATTACAAACATGTAGAACACAAATCAGTTGGTATAACTACAGAATGAAACTGTAAAAATTCTGAACAGAGGTTATCATCTCCTGACTCTGTTAGGCAATCTGTTTTCCTCTTTAAAAGACAGTAAAATATAGGATGAAGCCTGACTGCATCCAGTACTCAGTATAATTCCTGCTTTATCCTGAACAATACAAACCCACTGTTTACCGATCTTGTCAGAAGAATTACTGTCATGTAATTTTTCTGCACCATGTACAAATGATTTTCCAAATGATGGAGCAGCTTTACTATAGACAGTGTAGCACTGTACAATTTTTTGTGTTTTGGTTTCCACTAACAGGTATTCCCATTTTTCTCATATACTCACATCTACGAGCCAAATATCATCTTTACGGCTTTCTTTAAACCTGGAAAGGGAAAAAAAAGAAATCACTATATTATAAATCTCAAAATAAATAAGTGAAATGCATATGTGAAACAGGAAAAATATATAATTAAGTTGATACAAAACTATAGATATAAAAATCCTGGTTTGTTTCTTTCTTTGGAGGTAAGAAGGAGGAAATAGTTATGTTTCAGAATTAAGATTGCCCCTGCACCTGATGCTACATACACAGTTGCACCAACTAGGTTCCTGTAACTATTCGCCAAGACAAAAACCAAACAAAAAAACCCAAGCCAGAAAAAAGTAATTAATCAGAAAACACATGAAAACACAGAAGATGTTTGATTAGGATATGGAATCTAAGGAGAAATATTTTGCAGCTGTTCTAGTTACATTAAATACTTTTGTTGACCGTTTAGAAAATAATGCATTTTTATAGATCAATCCACTGGTAAAGTCAAACCTTTTTTTATTTTACTTATGTCATACCAAGTTTGCAAAGCTTGCTGTAGAGCAGAAAAGGTATCTGCAACAACTAAAACAAAACTGCTACAGGAAAGGAGCATTTTTGAGTCACAATATTGCTTAGTTGAACACCTCACTCTAAATCTACTTCACTGCCTTAAGTACTAGAGAGATAATCAAAGAAGTAGTTACAGTCTAGAATCTCTTGGGAACTCTAATGAAGCTCCAGCTAACTTCCAATTACAATGTTAAATAATCAGTTATGATGCAAGAGGCAGAAAGCAGCTACTGAATCATCAGATCCTGGGCTGTGCTTCAATTTAGAGTATCATCTTTGGTTTGTAAGAGAAGAATTTACAAAGAAGAATTTACAAGAGAAGAGTTCTCCTCTCCCTGCCACAGAATGACTGTTATGGGAGACTGCAAAGAGCATTAAAGCACTGAGAAAGTTAGATCAGAATCTTACAAAACTGGTAGAAAGCAAGGGAAAGAAATGTCTGAAGGCATAATATTCCAACGGAGCTTAGTAGCTTTGACCCAAGATGTTACAAAAAAATACTGTAGTGTTCACAATGTTAACTGCCAAGGTGTACCACTCATTAAAAACACGTACTTAATCAACTTCCTCAGAAACTAAAATGTGAAAAAAAAACAACACATCTAAACTCATTCTAGTTTTGGTAATGTCAGCGACTAAATTATTAGACAACATTAAGAAAGTCCAACATACCATTGAATTAAAACTAAAATCTCTGTACAAATGGGTATTTTAGGATATTCTGAAGGTGCTGTTTCTAGACCCTGTAAATACATTCCCAGCCTTAAAATTTCAGTCTCTTTTTAACTGTCTTATGCAGTCCTGTCTCCTAGCTGACACAGTGACAATCATACTTGTGGAAAGTGTATCCTCTATCAACATCACAAGAGGATAACACAAGATATCAGGATATAAGATACAATATTATTTGTGTCAAATACATGTAACTTCCCAACATTTGGCACTATGTGATCAAATGTTGCCTCGATCTCTACTTAAGCCATGCATCCCACTTTTATCATTAACAGTTAAAAGAAGCCACCATGACACAAACCGGACATCATAATCCAAAGGGCCTTCAGCCAACCCAGCTGGTATCTCTATTTCTCCCTGCCTCTCTTCTCACCCCCTTGCATAGTTTCTGATGCTTCAGACCCTGGGTTGAGCCACAAATACATCCTCACAGACAGAAAAATATTTCCCGCATTAATTAGGTTACTTATCTGTTTCATTATCACACTGGAACAAGTCAGCAAGTATCACAAGATCAGTACTGATCTGAGGCAGCCAGCAGCGAGGTCAGCATAAGCTGATAGGAACCCTAGCTCTTTCTTTGCATGCCCACAAGCCAGTTGGGTGATGCTGGATAACCTGCACCTCTGATGGCTCTTCTCTGCTACTTGTTTTCCTATATCTATAACTTAGCACCTATAGCACCTTGTTCTAGTAGGCATTGTTTGCAACTACCAAAATTCACATAAACCCCAAAGTTCTCAGCAACAGCAAAAACTCCATAATGTTATCTACAAAATACTCATACCTATAAAACAGAATACCTGAAACTTTCACCAATCACTGCACCCAGCTTCTTTTAAAAAATGTTTTCCTGACCTTTTTCATCATTTGCCTATTAGCTACAAAAAAAGAAAAAAACAAACACGCACACAAAACCCCACCAAAACACAAAACACCCCAAAACAACAAATACAAAAAAACAAATCTGTCAAGAACAACTCACCATTCAATTCTTATCCCAGCTGCAAATACAGGCTGTTTTGTAGATGAAAAAAATCCACATGTTCTAAACCAGGATTTTTTTTTACCAGCTATTTCAAAAAAGCTATGTGACTACAGAATTATGCTTCTTCATTCCAAAACAGCAATCACATTTAAATTTATACCTGTGGAAATGTGATATGCTATTTTATTCACTTAGCCTCTTTATCCCTAGCCCTTGAAAATATGAGGCATGTTTCAAAAACAAGCTTTGAAAATCAAGTCTAAGCAGTGCTGTACCTCACTTTTTCACTACACACTGAACACCAGCCAGAACTGCTGATGCACCCCTTTCACACACTCCCTTTCTCTCCCCTATAATTCTGCACCTCATTTGATCCTATGATTATCTGCTCTAGCTGAATAAGCAATATGGTAAAAAAGTGAATGGTTTTCTGACTGTTTGGCTCTAGGATGTAATTTATCACAGATTGCACCCTCATGAAAACATTGCCTTTGACTGACTTAAATTTACCACAAAGCAGCCACGTAATGCCACCTCCTACTTCCCTAGCAGGTAGTATTTTCTATACCTTCTATTTCAACTCTAATAATTGTGCTGCTTTGTAGAACTTTATATCAACCTTCTAATCTGACAAAAAAAAAAAAACAACTTCTTTTAATTTTCAGAACATTAGCTTTTATTTGGAAGAGGAAGCATGGAGCCATGAAACTGCCAAAGCAAGGCAGTTCACAAACAATCACGCTACACCACCAAGCTATGGGCAGGACTACCTATTTCAACACCTCCACAGTATCAGAGCTAAATCTGTCATCAAAGCAGTTTTTTACAGTGAAATATAACTGGCACTTCAAGCAGCCATGAACTAGTCCTGCACGCCTCCTTTTCCCTTCCTTTCCCGGCCATGCATGAATGCACGTATACTTGTTCTCCCAGTTCCCTGTAGCAGCTACGCAGCAAACTAATGAGGAATCCGGTTAAATGCAGTCAGGTTTTATTTGTGGTGAGCATCAATCCACCAAGACATTTACTCTACCAAAAGGAAAGAAAGAGCAAGAAAGATTGAGAACTTTTTTGGCAGCAGCATCTGTAAAAGCAATTTAAAAAAAAAAAAAAAACTAAACCCAAAAACAAAAAAAAAAAAAAAAACACACTGCAAAATCAGCATGCTCCTCAGCTTTATAAATTGCACCTTCTTAAATACACACGTTTCTGCCGTTCCTGCTAAGAAAAAGACAAACTTTCCCAATGTAGCTTTCCTGACAATCACAGGCTGCATAAAGCTGTCAGTCTGGGGTCTCCCACCAGCAAAATCCCAAATATTTAGGTCACAAGGCAAGATACCCCATACTTACGACTCATTCAGATCCTCCACAAAACCGGTACCTGACGCCACCACATGTGCAACCACTGCGAGGCAAGGAAAAACGTTCCGTGAGTGACCTGCAACCGAAGCTGGGGGTGCTCAGCCACGCCGGCTTACAGTCTCACCGCCTGCGTTCCCTTTCCCCACTCCCCTCACGCCTCCGATGCTTCCTCACAGCCCCAGACTACCCGCAACTCCAGCCCCCCTTCAGCACTGCCCGCTGCTCCCCTGGGCCCGTCTCCCTCTTCCGAAGCCCACCGCTTCCCCCCGCTCAGCCCACCAGGCCACAGCGGTCGCCCGACACTTACCTGCCACCCAAAGCATCCACCGCCACCGACCACCCGCCGCGGCCATGTTGACAGGAGCCCCTGCGCGGCCGGAAGGGGAAGCTGCGCTCCGCGATGCCGACCTTTCCGCACTGCGCAGGCGTGGAAGGTTTGGGCAGGGGGCGGTAGCTGCTGCGGGCGCCTGTGGTTCTTGAGGCTGCTCATGTCCGTGTTGGGGGTGGTGTGTCCGCCGGTGGCTCTGAGGTTTCCGTGCCGCCGAAAAGCGCCCTTGGAAGAGGGAGGGGGGTGGCTCAAGTGACGCCCTGACTCGGTGGCGTGCCGCGGCGCGGGTGGACCTTGTCCTATCTCCAGTGAGTTCCAGAGGTGGGGCCCACCGGACTCGAATTCAATAAAATCAGTGCTCTGACTCCTAGGGGAGGGACTTTAGTTTCAACACCTTTAGAAAAACGCGTGCCATCTGCTATGCTGTCAGCTGTTCCCATGGGTAGAGCTTATCCCGCGCCACGTACTGACACTGATGCCAGGAACCCACCTTCAGCACGTTTATGAAAAACACGGCCTTTCTTCCTGCTAATGACTGTATCATTCTCTTCAGCTTTCCTCGTTCTTTCAAGCCTGTTTCTGTTCTTGGTATTCTCAAATGCCTTGTTTGAGTACAGATCTGCAGGTCCCACAAGGCAGGTAATCCAGCTGAGAGACCTCTCTTAAACAGTTCAGCAGGTCTGGGGCTATTCAGCCTAGAGAAGAGAAGGCTGAGGGGGATCTGAGATGTGCACAAGTACCTGAAAGGGCGAGTGCAAAGAGGACAGAGGCAAGCTCTGTCCAGTTCCTGGTGACAGGACCAGAGGCAATGGGCACACACTGAAACGCAGGAGGTTCCCTCTGAACATCATGAAACACTTTTTCACTGTCTCCTAATGATAGGGTCTGCAAGCAGCTCACATTGTAGTTGCCTCACTTTTGGGCCGCTTTGCGTATGCATGTGTGTACACATGCATGTATCTACATTTATGTAGGTACATGTGCTCCTCTAACAATAAAAATTAACTGGCTGTTCATTACCTTTCTCACTAGGCCATAACTGTATAGTGATGACCTCCCCCCAGAGTTGTCCAGCCCTTTGGAAAAGCCAGCTACCATGCCATTGGCCGACAAAGAAGTCGAGACCTCAAAGTATGTGCCGTAGCTCACATTACAGTTCAGAAGTATCTGACTCTGCCTATGGTAGACTTATCTTTTTCTTAGCTGCATTTCACTGGAAGTTTATGCAGCATGGAGCAAGGAGGTGGCTGGTCTCTTCTCTCAAGTGACAAGCAATAGGACAAGAGAAAACAGCCTCAAGCTGCCCCAGGGAAGGTTTAGACAGGATACAGTGAAAAATTTCTTCACTGAAAGGGTAATCAGTCATTGGAACAGGCTGCCCAGGGAAGTGGTGGAATCACTGCCCATGGAAGTGTTCACTTTTAGATGAAGCCCTTAGTGACATGGTTTAGTGGTGGCCTTGATGACAGTGGCTGGGGCAGTAGTTGTACTTGGTGATGTTAAAGGTCTTTTCCAATCCTACCTGATTCTATGGTTCTGTGATTACACACCTTGATCAGACTATTTAACTGGTTTTGTTGGTTTCTTTTTTTCTCTTCCCCTGCCCCTCATTAGAGCTAAGGAGCTGCTAACATTAGATGTTAATGAGCTGCTGAAATTGGATAAACTATGAGAATTATTCACTTAATACCAAGAATTTCTGTTCCACAGCATTTCACTTTCTGTATACCACAGTTAGCTAAGTGGTGTCTGTATGCCTGACAAAATGAGAGCTGACATCCGTTTTGATCCTCATCTAGCTGCTGTCTAGACTGAGACAATGAAAACAATTTACCCCAGCAGTCCTTTAGTGGAAAATCTATACTGGAGAAAATGGGAGTAGCCAAGTAACTGTTAAATTAGTACAATCCAGTTCTCTTACTCATGCAGTTCACAGTTGGCTTTAAATAACTTTTAAAGAGAGGGGAACATTTATATAGTTTTGTATAGATTTGAATAAAGCTGTTTGCACATCTTTTAGATCCTATGTGTCAGCCTTGAGGTTTATTCTCTCTGCAAATAATGGAATACAATTGTTCTAACATTTTAATTTTGTGTGCCAAAGACTTTTGCAAGACTGCACTATTCTTGAGCTATGGTATTTTGAAATTGAAGGGGTCACTATATATTTAGTCTTTGTAACTAAATTTGTGTACACCCACATACACAACACTATGCTATATTTATTTACACAACTTGTAGCACTGCTTTATTGCCTAAGATGTGATATGCATATAAAAGTTCTTGCACTGAAGCCAAGTAACAAAGTACCATGGGAAAGGCATGTGACATGCAAAAGAAATAAATAGGATAATGATAGATGAGGTCTAAAGAAATCTCAAGGAGGTGGTGTTGGGATTTTTTTGGGGTTTTTTTTTTTTTTGTGTGTGTGTGTGAATATTATTTCTGCTATGAACATTTCAACTGAAAAACATAAGATTAATAGATTACTATTAATAGATCACTAAACTCACTGGATTTAGGAAGATAATTAGAGAAGGGAAAGGGATGACTTTGGTAAATTATTTGAGCAGGAGGTGTGGAAAAAAGAAGAGAAGGATAAGATGCAGAGAATACTGCTGAAGTTTTGAAAGGTACTGCAGGAGGAAGTGAACATTATGGGGAGATCAGCAATCAGTGCAACATTGAAAATTGAACAGTCAAGTTCACATACAAGGTTTCAAAGGCTCCTTCAAATCCATATTTTCTGGGAAGATATAATATTCCTTCTGCCCCAAATAGTTATTTTTTCAACCTGATAGGTGGGGAGATTCAGCAAAGGTAAGACACAAGCTTTGCCTTGTGGCCTGCTGAAGGCTGCTTTTCAGAGCTTTTTTGCTGTTGCAAGATTATATATCTGTTTGGGCAGGTTGTCCACTCTTCTTGCCCTGTGTGAAGGGCAAGGAAAAGGTCTTGTTGGTAACTGCATCGAAATTACAAAATGTGGACCTGTTTTTGCTGGAATGTGTGGAATTTTGCCTTAATAGAAATAACCTCTTTCAAATAATTTCCTGTCTACAATTTTGTTATCATAAACAGAATCACAGAATCATAGAATAGTTAGGGTTGGAAAGGTCCTTAAGATCATCTAGTTCCAACCCTCCTGCCATGGGCAGGGACTAAACCATGTCACCTAGGGCTCTGTCCAACCTGGCCTTCAACACAGAGTCATAAATAAAATACTAAGATTATTAAAGTTCTTTGTGCACATCTTTATTACTATACAGTGAATAGCATATCTGTGGCACCACAGAAAACTTCCCAGCCTGGCATGAAATTTTACTAGTATATTTTGACTTCATTGTGTATTATTTACTAAATTCATTTTCTATTATAGAACATGAAACATGTAAACATCAAAATAAAGTTTACAGAATGCTATTTGTGAACATTTACAGAAAGATTTTGCACAAAATGTTTTCTAGCTATTTACATTTTCCTTCCTGTCATATGAAATCTGAGAATGTGTGGAAAAACAGAAATGTAGTAGTAGATCCAGAATTTTCAGTTCCAGGGTAATTTCAAAATTAAGCGTTATTTCTTTGTGAAAGTATGACAAAACATTTTTCTTATTACTTAATAAGGTAGAGGCCTTCTGGACTTTGAAAATATTCACCTCCTTGGTATAACCTTTTATCAGACAGTTAAGATTACAGTGCTCACAGCTAAGAATTGCTGTTAAAGACTGTCCTGGGTTCAGCATGTTAAGCAAAACAAAAATACACTGTGGCAGTGAAGGGGAAGGGAGGTTGCCTACTTGAATTTGAAAGTGATAAGTGCACATTTGTGAACAAATGCTTCTTGCATTGTTACGTTTTTACTAACATACCTATGTTCTCTTAGAACTACCTGCAGGCTACAGAAAGAAGTGTTTTGTCTTCTGTAATGCAAGTACTATTGCAAACAAGAATATCAGTAACTGTATCATTTGGTATTGATTTTTGTAATACACAGTATGCACAGTTATACTCCCATCGATAGTTTATATTAGTGCTGTTTATTTCTCTCCCATTGCAGAGTAAGCTGCACTGATACAGAGTATCTTCCCATAGTGACTGCATCTATGATAGCAGGTTTGTGCCACTCTGTCAGTACCTTCTATAGATACAACCTGTTTCATAAATTGAACCAAACCAGTAAGGCAGTTGTTATTAATCACAGTTAAAGTTATAATAAACTCGTAGTGTTACAATTTTGTGTCTAATTAGAAGAACAGATAATTACACGTGATCTGGTACACTTTGGGTTTTTTCTACATGTTTTCATGAGAATGCTTGGAGTTTTTGCAAGGCACAGCATAAAGTAGAATCTGAATTAAAAACGTAATTGTTATGACCTTCTCACTGTTGACACTGGCAGCAGAATTCGGCTGGTCTTGCATTAACTTTTCACCTTTCTGAACAATTTACTTTTTAGATCAGGTTGAACTGATCCTTGGGGGGGGGGGGGGGGGGGAGGGGGATGGTGAGTTGGAGATTGAGTTAAAAATAAAATAAAAAATAATAACATTTTTACATTGTGTTTATCACAGAGACACCTGGTGGTCTTTGGGTATATTTGCAAAAAAACACATTTTGTTTTTTTTCTTTTTTGTTTTGTTTGTGGGTGTGTTTTTCTTTTTTTTGTCTGAGTTTACTTTAAAGTTTGCTTTATCATTTCTAATATGTCACATTTAGAACCTCCTACCACCTAATTCGAAAATGAAATTCAGAACATTTACATATTATCTGGTACATACTGGATATTGGTTCTTAGGTTGATCATGGGTATTTTTCTTGCATCTTCCCTATCAGAGCTATATGGAGGAGAGATTTGGGTGTATTATAGGGCTAAGTGAAGTAAAATTATATTTCTTCCAAAATGTAATGTTAATCAGCATTTGGTTTTCATGTTTTCAGCATTTGGTTTATGTGTTTTGTTTCTGATTTGTCTGTTTTAAGGGATTGAAATGATGACTAAAAAGTTATGTCAGAACTAGTTTAATGTTGAGATCAACCTATTAGTACATTAGTTAGTTGTAGTTTCTACCCTAGAAACACTAACTGACAAGATCAGGGCTTCGTCACCACAGAAAAGTTGTATAATACACCCCGCATATGGCA